CTTTTCCTCATTGCCTCTATTTTTAAAAGTGCTTTGTTCACTCAGTGTTTTAAACTAGAAAATACTAAAATTTTAAAACATCCCTTATGGTCTAGAAGTTAGATATAATGAAAGAAAACTCAAAACACTAGGAAGAATTAAATTTTCAAAAAATGCTGCTGAGAAAGCCATAATTTGGCTAAAAATCCTGGCAACACATCAATTCATTGTGTTCTAAGTTATTTCATTGTGACTTAGTCTCCTAATTAGAGAATAAAGCTCCTTACAGAGAGGACCTATACAACTTCTCTTTTGCTTTTCCCTCTCCCACGTCTAAGAAGGAACAAGAAACTAACATGTCCCTATTAGTAAGAGCTAAAACTTTTTTATATAATGGTTGAGTGCTCACATAATGAGCAAAACAGTTCGGTGTAGGACAAATATAGGCCTAGGGGGGTCAGAAAGACATGTAGTCTTTTGTGTAACAGTTAACTTGTTCCTTTATTTTTTTAAAAATATTTGTATATATTTTTATTTATTTCAGAGAGAGGCAGGGAGAGGGAGAAAGAGAGGGAAACATCAGTAGTGAGAAAGAATCATCAATTGGCTGTCTCCTGCACACCCTCTACTGAGGATGAAGCCCACCGCTCAGACATGTGCCCTGACTTCCTGGTTCAAGGGTCAATGCTCAATCACTGAACCACACTGGCCAGGCTGCTTGTTCCTTTCTTTATTTGTTTAAACCCCTTTAAAAATTAAGGAGAGTATTCAAATTTGCCATATTAAAAAAAAATGCAACCATTTTACAAGACAGTTGCCAGCTGAGCATCTTCTAAGTCAGTATGTATTTATGCTTAAAAATAGAATACAACAAATAATTTCCTTTGGCGTGATTAAGTGCTGGTTAAAAGTTTTCTTTGAACAAAATGGAAAAACAAGAGATTTTCTAATCAAGCAAAAGTAGGAAAAAGCAGTTTGATTTTAGAACTACATATCTCTCATAAAACTAATTGCACTCTCACAGTAAAAAGATTAGTTGCCTTCAGTGGATTCTCAGGGACAGGGGGAAATCCTATTATTTCCTCTCCACTAAGGAGTAACACCTTCCTACAATTATAGGAAAGCTGTGCATTTAGTTGCCTGCTCAGAAAGTACCATTTCCTAATAAAAAACAAAAGTAACCCACTCTCACCAAGTCAAAAATAAAGACTAGATTCTCAGCTCCTACTGCCCTCTTTCATCTGTAACTCTTGTCATTAGAACTCACACAGTAAGACGCATTAAACAACAATCCATTAATTTAGAAATTCTCCTTAAGGCCAACTTTCATCTCAAGGTCCCCTCCCAGCTAAGATGGTCAGGTTCAGTTACTTTATCTGATAAGAGGCAAAGATAGGGAAAAAAGTAATTGTGATGTATGCAAGCATCTATCAAGATAGAAAAGCAATAGCAAATATCCTTAGCGCAAGTTTTTGAATAGATACTATGGCCATTAAACACTCACCTGTCACCTTTTACCCATGATAACACAACAGATGGCATTTGTTTGTGCTAACACACAACTAGCCATGCCTCTTTCTCCTACTAGGAATGCATATCACTTCTCTCCTTTAAGTGTTTTCACAGAACCACTTCGTTAGACCCCAAATCTAAACTACCTTCAGACCTAGTATCGTCTTCCTTTCCGGACCTCAACAGCATTATATATCTCTCATACTTTTTAAAAATATATTTTATTGATTTCAGAGAGGAAGGGAGAAAGAGAGATATATAAACATCAATGATGAGAATCATTGATCAGCTACCTCCTATACCTCCCCGCTACTGGGGATCAAGGCTGCAACCCAGGCATGTGCCCTGACTGAGAATCAAACCATGACCTCCTGGTTCTTAGGTCAAAGGTCAACCACTGAACCAAACTGGCCAGGCCGTTAGTCACAATTTTAAAGAAACATGGAACTCAGAGGAAGGGGCCTGAGAAACCTCTCATCTTACTGATGGGCAGGAACAGACCATGAAATGTTCAGGGTTTCATAGCAGCACATGTGACTCTAGGAATATTGCAAATGAAAAGTATTAGGTCTTTATCTCAATTATCAACTGCTTCCCTTTCCATTAAAAAAAATAACACTTGATTTGGGTACTATATTTTGGCAGGAACATTGAAGATAAGAAAGACCACTTCTTTTTAAATCCCTTACAAAGGCCAAAATCTGATACACTTTTCCTTCTCCCTGATTCATAACAGGAAGTCAATATAATTACTTTTCAAATATTTTAACTAAAACAGGTTATCAAAGGATAGGTTTGATTTCTCTAGCATCAAAAAGCTGATCATTGGGACCAATAGCTACTCAAATTTGAGACATACAGTCCTAGCCTTCTTTATAATCATAAACCATTTTACCAGAGGACAATGTAGAGAGAAAAGTTTTGAGGACTGAGAATAGAAAAGTCAGGGTCTGGGAATAAGAGTGTCAAGGATTAGGAACCATGGCTTAGTGTAGACTCAGAATTAAATTGTATTTTTTTTTTTTTTTTTTTGCCTGAAAGGGTAAGAAGCTTCTGCTTACCCTGTTGGGGGAGAGGACCTGGGGGAGAGGTGGTGGTTACACTGCAACCTGTCCACTGGGAAAAATTACTTTTTCATATATCTCACACACAAGGCATGAATTGGGAGTCACAAATACCACAGGAACATCACTGTTTATGGAACATAGCCCTTCTTCTCCCACCCCACTCTATATGGGAAAAATAAATTAATAAAAATATAGACCATCATCCAAATGTGTTTGCCACCTTTCTCTGTTCTCTGAACTTGGTATTTTATTCAGTTTCTTCTTGTGCCTTCATAGGCCATTTCTATGACCAAAATCACTGCCTCTGACCAACTACTCAAGTAGAACCCCTACATTATAGGTCCCCTAAATTCAATGACCTGGAGTTCTCTTCCCCTTCATGTGTAATCCTCTTCTCAGTCAAGAAAGGCAGAACATACAGAGATAATAAGCAAGCCAAAGAAATCTGGGTATAAACCCTGGCTCAGTTCGATCCCTCACTGCTAAGTGGCCTGAAACAAGCCACTTTATCTCTTTGGGCCCCAGCTTTCCCATCTGTACAGTAATCATATTACCTACTAGCTATGAATATTGTGAGAATTACAGATTATATCACACAAACTCTCTTATCCAATGACTATAACATGGCATGCAGTAGATAAATGTTAATAATCCTATATAATAAAAGCCTAATATGCTAAGTGTCCGACCGTTTGACCTTTTGACCGCTCACTATGATGTGCACTGACCACCAGGGGGCAGACGCTCTGACTGGTAGGTTAGCTTGCTGCTGGGGTGCGGGCAATTAGGACTGGGCAAGACGGGCCAGATACGCTCTGGAGCACTCCCATGGTCCGTCCGGGGTCCCAATTGGCCCCGCGAGATGGGCCAGACATACCCTGAAGCCCTCCCGCAAACCCTCCCTGGCCCCAAATGTGCACCGGTGGGGTCTCTCAGCCTGGCCTGTGCCCTCTCACAATCGGGGACCCCTCGGGTGATGTCCGAGAGTCAGTTCTGGCCCAATCCCTGCAGACCAGGCCAAGGGACCCCACTGGTGCACGAATCTGTGCACCAGGCCTCTATTTATTAATATAACTGCAAATTGGCATTTTATACCAGGACACATATTCCTTTAGAAAAACTGCCTTGTACATCATGTTTGGAAACTCTCCCTGAGATTCTTTAGAGTCTATGTTGAAATCTATCACTTTAGATGTCTTCTCAGGAGTATATCCTTTATTACCCATCAGGTTAAACTCTAATCCCAAAATGTCCACTAGAATTTATTGAAGCCTTCGGTCCTTCCAATCTTTTAACTAAAAATTTTCATCAAAAATATATTCTTGATGCTTTATAGGAATTACTTCCAAACTGAACTTACCACTACCAAACAGGAACTTTCTAAGACTAGAAATTTGTGTGCCTCTTCCCCTAGAGATTAATTCATTAGGTCCTAGGGAGGGGCCAGGGATTTGTATTTCAAAAAGGCTTATGATATGATTCTAATGACCTGCGGGTTTTGGAATCACTGCTTTCTATGATCCCAAATCTTCCACCTCTGCAGAGAAACATGTGCAAACTAGAAATTACCTGTTTAGCTTCTAATTAGAGCACCTGCTCTGTTTCCTTCAAGTGGTAGTCAACCCCACCCAGTAGTCCCGCCAAAAACAAACAAAACACACCCAGGACACAGGTAACTCAGCAAGCACTAAAGCCTCTGGATTTGTGCAGAAAAACTGCTATAAGCAGCTTTGTTTTTCATTATTAATGTATCTCATGTGGGGATTTCCACAGGCAGAAAGGCTCTCCAAGTGCCAAGAGCTATGTTTTCTTGTGGATCATTGAAACCTAATTATTAACAGACCAGTAAGCCTCACAACCAGACTTTCATAAAGTCAGAAGATCAGAAAGACAGTCTTGAATTATGGGCTACAGAGAGCAACTAAGGATCCAAAAGGCAAATTCATTTCTTCGCTGCTGCTCTCCCACATGCCACAATACCCGAGCTTCCCAGGAAGATCTAAACCTTTGCAAGGCACTGCTTGCATGTAGATAACCATTTTTCGCACCTGAGAACCTTTAGATACACGGCGTATGTGATCGAATGGGCCTGTTCTGTTTGTCCTCACTATGAGGACCTCTCCCCTACCAGCTGGGCTACCTTGACTACCATCAAGACTTCAGTTGGTCTGCCTTCCCTGAATGCCAATCGCAGCAGCATCGAGCTTTGCTACACAGAGCACATCTGACTAAAAGGGTACCATGCTGAAGTTTCAAATCATAACAAAAAACACTGAGCTTGGTTTGGTATACTTTTCAGAAGCACGCACAAAGCTCTGCAGGGCAGCCTTCCAGCATCCCACAGGGATATCTTCTCCACCTGTTAGGAAGAAGCACTAAGGAACAGGTACCTAAGCAGGGGATTTTTCAGCCATAGAAAAGAACAAAGCCACGCTTCCTCACCTGTCTGAGTCCCTTTGGCATCTTCTTTCTCTTCCCGAGGTGCTGGCAGAGATTGCGGTCATTTTCTCGATCTGAGCTGTAGTGATGTGGGTGGCTGAGGCGGCTCTTCTTGGAATGAAAGGACAAGCCGTTGGTAAGTGCTTCTCGTTTCTTCTTTGTCAGAGGGGTCTGGCGTTTCTCCACACGTTCCTGAGGCTTAAGTGCTACATCTTTCTGTAGAAGAGAAGAGAAGGAAAGGGAAGTGGTGGTTATATAGGTATCTAGGGTCACACTCAAAATACAGATTAAATGAGTTTACTAAAAGGGAGGGTGGGAAGGACAGGAAAGTGGGATATGAGAATACTGAAAACTAAGAAACTTGGCTCTTAATTTTTCTTAGCTCCTAATGCCACCATAAATATATCCTTTCTATTCCTATTGGGCAAAAAAAAATTCAACTAAGCACAGAGTACCTGTCCATTAAATGTGATTTCACTGCTCCCGGGACAATGGCTTTCTATTTGATTCTGTGCTGGGTCCAGCACACAATATTCCCCAAGGAGGCTTAATACACTCACTTCCCAAGATGGTACATCAATTATGTTTTGAAAAAAAGAGTACTAAGTGCATGCACTATTCAAAAACAGCAGCATAAGACTGAACATACCAGGGCCAGGTGGATGTGAGCCAGCAAGAAGGAAACTGTCAATTCATACGATTAAGATGTTTCCTTAATGCATTATATTTTCACCACAAGTTCCTCTGAGCATCCGTAATTCACATCTTCATTGCAAAATGTAACAATATTATCACCAAGATCAAAAGCAACTTTTCATTTATTCCTATGTGTGGCTGGGGGTGGAGGAAAGGGTAATAGAAGGGTAATGGATGTTCTGGAATAAAAAGTAGCATCTGTAGAAACTACAGGCAAGAATTTGAGGCCACACAACCTAGTAAGTTATGTGTCTGCAGGCAGCTCAGGATATACTGAGATCCAAAAGGACCTGGGTTTGAGCCCTGACACACTATACATTATGAGACGTGGAGTAAGTCACTGCAATTATGAGCCCATATGTAAAATGGGCTCAGTGATGACTTGATTCCATACATGTGAATGTCTTTTAATCCCTGAGAAATGTTGTCACATGAAAAACTAAAATAAAAAATATTTGGCGCTGCCCTGACTGATGTCACAGTTAAAGCATTAGCCCCTGCACCAAAGAGTCACAAATTCAATTCCCAGTCAAGGGCATGTACCTGGGTTGCAGGTTCAATCCCCTGCCCAGGTTGGGGTGCATGCTGGAGACAATCAATCAATGCCTTTATCTCTCTGTCTCTGTCTCTCTCTGTTTCTCTCTCTACCCTCTCAACCCCTCCCTTCTACTCTCTCTAAAAAATCAATAGAAACACATCCTTGGGTGAGGATTCACACACACACACACACACACACACACACACACACACACACACACATACACACACAAAGGTACTGTATCATTTGTAAATAATTGGATATGAAACTCCTCACCTCCACCTAATTTCTCTGTGTCCATAATCCTAAATGCACATTTAAAAATAATATAAAACAAGAGCAAAAATTTCCTTCTCAAAATTCCCCTTTTCTCTCTGTCACTGTTAATTTTTTTATATTATTAAATTTATTGGGGTTACATTGGGCAACATAATCAGATAGGTTTCAGGTGAGGGTTTCTATGATAGCCAATATTCTTGAAGTAATTATCTACTGTACTGCTTCTACTATTATATCCCAACACTCCCCACTTGACTTACACAGACCTCCTCAATAACTTTTCCCAGATAAGCGACACAACAATTGTTTGGGACCTCGGACTTTTATGACTACTTTGCCTTGGCCTCAAAAGACCTCCCTTCCCTAGCTCTCTCTTTTCTAGTTCAAGGACTTTTTGTAATGCTGCCTCTTCAGGGAGACCTTTAAATAATACAAAAGCAATCTTATCAAGCTTTCACTCATTTAACAAATATATTTTGGGCACCTAGTACTAGTATATACCAAGTACAAGCTCATCAGTGCCCTACAGTGCTAAGAAAACAATTTTGTAGGGGGAAAATCTTCACCTCATGGAGTTTAAAATTTAGGAGACAAATACTAATCAAATCACACAAATGTGTAATTGTCAACTGAACTAACTGCTCTAAAGAAAAGGTAAAGGGTACTAAAGTTGGGGGAAATAGTCCAGTCCAGAGGAGGGGGTTGTGGCTGAAAACATGAGTGCCATTTGATCGAGATTTGAAAGTCTGAGCAGAGAGAAAAGTTTATACAAAGGCCCAGAGGCAGCTGGTGCACAAATCCTTGAAAGGACAAGGGCAGGGAGTAAGTATTGTTTATCTCAGTAACCCCAGAGCTTCACATACGGAGTCAGGCAAAGAATAGGTGGTACATATATTTATAAGTGCTAAATAGCTAAATAAATAAATAAATAAATAAGATAACTAGTCAAAATATCCAAACCTACAAACCACAACAATCTATACATATAAAAGCCTAAGCGACCATTATGACCAATTGACCAAATGGGTCGACTAGTCACTATGATGCACACTGACTACTAGGGGGCTGACGATCAATGCAGAAGCTGCTCCCTGGTGGTCAGTGTGCTCCCACTGCCAACCTCCCGCGGTCTCTCCCCCGGCTGGCCGGCCCCTATCAGCCCTGATTGGGGCTGGGCAAGATGGCCCCGATTGACAACCAGGATGAGGGACCCCACCCATGCACGAATTCATGCACCAGGCCTCTAGTGATTTAATAATATCCCAGGCTGCCTCTAACACAGAGTACAGCAACCTAGAAAAGTTGATTAAAGCAGAACATCAAGAAACCTAGCAGGCACTGATGGCACACAAGAAGGATCACAGAAAATAGCAAGAAGCCCCAGAAAAAAATAAAAGCCTTGTCCTTGGAACAAAAAGATATCAACGATAACAGTCTCATAAGGCAAATGAGCACCTCTGGTCTAACATCACTGCCGATGATTTACCCTCTGCCACTGAAGAGGCAGGCCTCCTGATGCAGTGAGGATGTGGTGAGGGGTGTTCAGGGGAGGAGTTGAGATCAAAGCAAGTGCTCACAGCCATTGACTCCACAGTCTCAGAACCTTGTACACTGTGACTAACTCCTGTTAAATGTTCAATAAAAGACTGCTATATTTATTCCTTTGCCCAGTGTCCACTACCAGCCAGCTATGTCAGACATCCGTTCAGCTCCAACTATTCAGTGCTTAGTCTCACATGTAATCATGATAGTCAGCTATCATGAAAAGACACTCAGGTATAGTGACAATGCTAGCAGAAGCAGCCAGGTGTGTTCCATCATGGACTGCTTCTATATAATATGATTAAATTGTACCACTTCTAAGAATAATATATAAACTCCACACAGGGTAAAACACACACACACACACACACACCCCTCCTTTCTTTGTGATAAAACCCACCTATTGCCCTGCATCACATGCATATGGAGTATCAGATTAATAAACAAATGATATTTAATAATGTATCAACTGGGCTTTTAAAAAAATTATGTCTCTCTCTTTAGAGACCAAATCTTTCATACCAAAGGTGCTCCAAAGTATATTGAAAATTATGTGCAATTCCATACAAATGTGAATTAATATTTATGAGAGTATGTATAATTTTTTCCAAATTCATTTTATTCTCATGTAGCTTATTAATCAAGGCATTCTCACTGTACTGCAGAACAGCTACACAGAACAAATAGACCCCATGCTGTGACATTAGCTTGTAAGAGACCTGCTGAAGTCTTAGCAGCAGCAGTACAATCATCTTAGCTCCAATTAACATTGAGATTTTCAACTCTGGAGGGTTTGGGGAGGGAAGGGGAAGAGAGACCAGAACAAAGTGTGTGTAGAGGCTTAACAGCTAAAGAAGAAATGAACAGTGTTTTAAAGGTTTTTATTAGATAAGAAGTTTATATTTTCAAAGACTAGAGATGATCTTTATTCTTTCAAAGGAATAGTTATTATTTATAAATTACTATATAGGCCCTTTAGTATAATTCCTGAATAAAACAGGCCATTATTTCTTTTTTCCCTCTATAAACATTTACTGACTGCTTATTATGCATATATTAAAATAATCGTTTAATTTTCATTGACTGTCTTGGGGCAAAAAAATGACAAAAACTTTTTTTTTAAATATATTTTATTGATTTTTTACAGAGAGGAAGGGAGAGAGATAGAGAGTTAGAAACATCGATCAGCTGCCTCCTGCACACCCCCCACTGGGGATGTGCCCACAACCACGGTACATGCCCTTGACCGGAATCGAACCTGGGACCCCCCAGTCCGCAGGCCGACGCTCTATCCACTGAGCCAAACCGGTTTCGGCGACAAAAACTTTTCACTATAAACAATGAGAATAAAAGACAAATAGATTTATTATAAAGGCAACCAGCCTTTAATAGTCTAAAGAGCTGTGCACCTGATTACATACACGTGTATACGTAAACATATAAACAATTTTCAATCTTTTTCTTCTTGTGGCACATATAAACTAATTACTAAAATCCCGCAGCACAGCAAAACATATGAAATAAAAAATAGGTATAATTTTGATTCATTCACACCAGATGGCTACTGTTGTTTTGGCTGTTGTCATTTTTATGTGGCAATCTAAGGGAAAAGAGGTCAGTGCCCCTGACTAAATAGGCAGATATCACATGTTTTACGGCACACTGGTTGAAAATTGCTGGTACACACACACACACACACACACACACACATCCACAAACCCACCACCAACAAACTATTAGCAACTAATTTAAGAATTTCCTTAAAGAAACGTAGGCAGTCTATAAAATAATGCTACATACAATATGTGGAGTAAACCTGTCTAGTTTGTAAAATAATCTTGTAGAATCAATAAAAGATTTTTAAAGGCCTAATGATTTATTAGTCTACCATGACCTAGGCTAGTGATTCTCAATGAAAATTAATATCCTTCAGAATTACCTTCATTGCTCTTTGAAAATAAGAGGACTATACCCCATACTCATCAAGGAAAGCATTTATCAAACAAGCACTGGGAGGGAATGTAAAGGAGGGCAGAGGGATAAGAGAGAGATTAGGAAAAATGCTTTAAGGCATTCACTTGACAATCACAGTAGAAGCAAGCAAGCAAGAAAGCCAGAGAGCCAGTAACAGAAGGCTGGCAGTGAGGTCAAAAGATTTAGA